GTGGTGATAGTGAGGGGAGTCAATCCTTTTGTTGACAAGACAGTAGTGACGGCCATCATGGTGACGTGTGTTGTTCTGCGAGACCAGAGATGTAGTTCATTCAGCGACACATTTGTATTTTTTTGACTTGCAAAATGATCTTTTAAATTGACAAACATCATATGTGTAATTCGTGGCACAATTCAAACGGGATCGAAAGATAATCTTTCTCTATTCATTGACTTCAATACATACTTTTTCCGAAATAAGGTCCCATGGAGGAAGGGGAGGGGCTTCGCCTCTCTATTGATGAATTCAGACATGCAGTAAAACTTTTTCTGTGTTTCTTGGAAGTTTTCTTTCCATTAGAGTGAAAGAAAACATGGAAGTAAAATAGACCAAAATAACACAGGAAAAAACGATATTTTTGCCCGTAATGTCCTTAAACAGTAACTTCATAATTTTGATTGTCGGCTGCTCATTTAATAACTATTCATTGTACTAGTTTGTTGTCTGCTCTTGTGCTTAGTGAATACTAAAGAAGACCATTGTCTCTGTGTTAGCTGATTATTTTGTAGAGTTCTGTTGAGTATTAAACAATTACGTGAGTGTGAGGGTATTAAAATAAATTGGTCAGTAAGTCAGAGATATGCAACTATATTTAACTTTTTGTTTTACATTCTTTTTTATAAATGATTATGGGAAGTGCCCTTTTTCTCACTTGAGCACCCGCCCCCCAACATGTCTGTGCACGTCCCTGCCCAACAGCGATGTTCAGAAGTAATAACGATGATGATAATTGATGTCTTCAGTGATTAATGACCTTACTCGCTCTCGGCCCCCTCCTATTCATCCTTTACCTGCTTCCCCTTGGTCACATAATCCGCCGTCATGGACTTCAATTCCACTGCTTTGCCGACGACATCCAGCTTCTCATCTCCACCAAGTCCATCTCCACTGCTACCCACTCCATCCTGACAAACTGCATCACTGAAATAAAATCCTGGCTCCAACTTAACTTCCTGAAACTCAACTGCGATAAATCTGAAATAATAATCATTGGACAAAACAAGCTCACCACACCTATCCATAACTTCACCCTCAACATAGACGGCTTCCCAGTTCAAACCTCCCCTCACATCCGGAACCTAGGCATCCTATTTGACCAAACCCTCTCCTACAACAAATACATCAAACAGATCACAAAGACAGCCTTCTTCCACCTCAAAAATATCGCCCGTCTACGTCCATCCCTCTCTCCCACTGCTGCCGAAACCCTCATGCACGCCTTCATCACCTCCCGTCTGGACTATTGCAACAGCCTCCTCTACGGTTCACCTGCAAAAATCCTCAAAAAACTTCAATACATCCAGAACTCCGCCGCCCGTCTGCTCACCCACACCCGAATCCGTGAACACATTACCCCCGTCCTCATCAAGCTCCACTGGCTCCCCATCCCCAGAGAATTCAGTACAAGATCCTCCTGATGACGTACAAAGCCCTCCATAACCTGGCCCCATCCTACCTGACTGACCTCCTCCACAGACACACTCCCACTCGCTCCCTCCGCTCTGCTGCTGCCAACCTCCTGTCCCTCCCCACCCGGACCAACCTCAAGTCCTGGGGCGGCAGAGCCTTCTCCGTTGCTGCACCCACCCTCTGGAGCTCACTACCCCAATCCACCAGAGATTCTTCCTCCCTCACAGCATTCAAAACATCACTCAAAACCCACCTGTTCAACACTGCATTCAACCACTGACCCCCCCCCCCCCTCCCCCCCTATGTTCTGTTCTGTTTATCTCTTTTTGTATTTCTTTGTTATCTCTTTTTTTTCTCTTTTTTTTTTTCTCTTGTCTTTCCTCCTCTTAATTCTCTGTCAAAGCGTCTTTGAGTTTCATGAAAAGCGCTATAGAAGTCCCATGTATTATTATTATTATTACAGCACTTTACAAGGCCAGGTGTTTTTAAGAAGATTCAGTAAAGCCTGAGGTGATTCCTGTCAACACTTGACGTGTTTTCTGTAAGTTTAACAGATCCACAACATCAGATAAAAACTGGTCAGATGGCATTGCAGTTTTAAACAGTCGTCTTGACGTTTGATGAGGAAACACAACTCTACAATTACATCTCTGAGAAAAGATGTACCTATCAAAACATGTAATGTAATGCTTCAACAGCTAGTTTCGCCAATGCAACGCTTTCAGACAAACTTGCCAAATGTTTATAGGATTTCACAATAGTGGTTAACCCTCAAAATCATACAAAGCTCCACATGTTTTGTAGAAACTCACAAGTCTGTTTCACCTGCTGCCTGGAGCTATTTTTGTATGATTTAAGGCAGGGGTGTCAAACTCAAGGCCCGGGGGCCAAATCCGGCCCGCAACTTCATTTTATGTGGCCCCGCAAGAGCTCTGAAAGAATATAATACGTTTATTATACGGTTACATGCCACTTTACAGAAGCAGGTGGCCCATAAACTACATGTCCCACAATGCATCTGGTTTTGAGACATGCTCACTGAAGAGACTTGCAATGATTTGCCCTAGAGTTCTGCTTTCAGACGTAGTTAATTACTAAGTTATTATCCTATCCGATAATACTCCAATTCAGAGGCAATAATGTCATATAATACATATATATATTATATATTTATATATGTATATTTATATAGTTACAACCAGCCCTTTGTGGCCCGCGATGAAATTGATTTGACACCCCTGATTTAAGGTGTAAGATTAGTAAGAGTGTAGGCCCATTTGCATTTCCAAGCATTTACATTGTCCTTGTCCACATAATCCCAATTGTACATTAGATCTCATTTAAATGCATCTGCACTGCAAGGAAGTACCTGAGCAAAGGGCAAAGCATGCTTCATTATTAGAATAAGACTTGGCTCAGTTTCAACTCAGATGCGATCACTAAATGCCTCTGGGCCAATACAACAGACATCAGTTATAGTCAATGCAAGAGGACAAAGAACACAGACAGCACTTGCCTTGAGTGGAAAATTACAGATATCAGAGCCGCTAAACGTCACTATTGTGTACAAATGGAAATAAAACAATGATAAGGGAAGCAGCTGCAGTTTGGGAACTTCTGTGTTAAAGCATGAAACTGTTGAAGGACTGCTGCTCGTGGTCGTAGCATGGGAACAGAAATGGAGACAGAATTAGTGTTTTTGGGAGTGATTGCACTGAAAACTGCAGAGAAACAGAAGACAAACTTAGAGATCTTTGACATATGATGGATTTACTCGGAGAAGAGACGTGCAAATATAAAAAATAAGTTGATAGATCGTTACATCACAGCAGGACAAATGATATGACAACTCTTGATAGCAGTTGTCTTTTTTCTCAACATTCTGACTTTTATCTTAAAACTCTGACTTTTTTTCTCAATTTGAGCTTAATCTTTAACTTAATGGGTGGACTTCACTCTGTTGCAGCTTGACCTCATGCAAATGTAAAACACAAGTTAACGACACAGCGAGCTCACATGATGTCGAACGACGTTTCATAACCTTGCATCCTTTTAAAAAAAACTCCTCAGTACTTTTCCATTGTGTGAAGAACACAATCCGTCTCTTCATACCAAGGAGGGATTGGGTATGTACTGCAGAGTATGCACATGTTCTTGGGCACTTTATTCAGAATAAATATCCAGAATTAGAGGACATATAAGACTTCTACATTTAAAAAAATGAACCTTTTATTTTTAAATGTTCTGTTATTAATGTATTTGAGAAAAACAGTCAGCTAACCATCAACAAATCAATGGTACACTTTCTATTAGATGGTTTATTACCGGTATGCTTTTTCTCTATGGTTTGCTTGAAGTCCAGATATCTATTTCTAAATGTCCATTAACCTGTGGATTGAACTGTCCCTGGTACCATTACCAAAGCCAATTCAAATTCTAGGAAAATACAGTAATACATTTAAAAAGAAGAAGAAGAAGAAGATGGACCTTTATTAATCCCCAAGGGGGAAATTCAGTTTCCAGTCTGTCGAACACACACATGCGTTTTTATACAGGTACACACAGCTTAGGCATCAATGGTTGACTTTTTATTAGATGTTTTATTTGTTGCTTTTCAGCAGCGCTCTATGGTTTGCTAGAACTACAGAAATCAATTAGAAACGTGTCCATTAGCCTCTTGATTTAACTATAATTTAAAAACAGTTTTGTTCATTTTGAGTTAATTTATAACACATATTATTAGCTGTTGGAGCCTCAACATGCTTAGGCTTTCATTTGACTAAAGATAGTACATTGAACTGCAGGAAATGCAAATCTGTAACTGTAATTGTAGTAACAGGGTTTTGAAACCACTGCTTCTATACATATGTTTACCTTTTACCTAAAGACATGCATATTCAGTGCATGTTTTAGCACTTTGGGCATTAGGCAAGGCAAGTTTATTTATATAGCACCTTTCAACACAAGGCAATTCAAAGTGCTTTACAAAAAATGAAAGACATTAAGAAATTGGCATTTAAAATCTTTCATTAAAAAGCAAAGATAATAAAAGTTACAGTGCAGTTTAAGATGTGAATAGTTCAATTAAAAGCAGCGACAAAAAGAAAAGTCTTCTTGCTGGATTTAAAAGAAGTCAGAGTTGCAGCGGACCTGCAGGTTTCTGGGAGTTTGTTCCAGATATTTGGAGCATAATAACTGAACGCTGCTTCTCCATGTTTAGTTCTGACTCTGGGGACAGAAAGCTGACCAGTCCCTGAAGACCTGAGAGATCTGGATGCTTCATCATTTAGCAGGAGGTCAGAAATGTATTTTGGGCCTAAACCATTCAGTGCTTTACAGGTTTTATTTGTGATTCGAACGTGGATGGGTTGGGCAGTTTGGGTTTAGGTAGAGAGATAAAGAGATGGCTATCCCCCTTCCAGTCAAATCAAATAATTACAGGCAGGTAAGACAGATTAGCGAACCTGCCGGCGACAAACAACAAGGTGTTCAGGTGTGCAACAAAGACAACTTCACTCTCTCTGCCTCCCATCAGGTTCAGTATGGCTGTCAACGTCCTTGGAATAATTGTGATGGTGTTTCTCTACTTGCTGGTGCTTGGAGTCGGCATATGGGCTTTTTTCAAGTCCAAAAAGAAGAGGGACAAATGTCCAGGGGAGAGTTTGGAGATAAGTCTGCTGGGAAACAGGAGCATCGGCAGAGTGGTGGGGATATTCACTACGGCAGGTGAGATCAGAGTGATGTAAGAGTAGAACAAACAAGCATATTGTTACCCTTATTTAGTTAAAACATGTAAGTAGCTGCTTATAAATAGATATCCAGTACATGAGCACCAATAGTCACAACATAAACTCTATGCATTACATTAATGCACACAATGTAGTTCTCTATACGTGTTTTTAATGTTTGTTTTACTTTTATGTATGCAACAAATCATATTCCTCGTACGTGTCAACCTACCTGGTAATAAACCTGTTTCTGATTCTGATAAATATCGATTGGAAAAAAATCTGTTCAGTCTTTTGTTGTTGTCATTTGTTTATAAAATGTGACTAAATCAGGGGTGTCAAACTCAATTTCATGGCAGCTACTGTACATCAACAAAGGGCTGGTTTTAACTTTACGACTATATACATATAGATATAAATATATAATATATGTATACAATAATGTACTATATTACATTATTGTCTCTGCATTGGAATAATAATTAACTTCGTCTGAAAGCAGAAGTCTAGAGAAAATACTTTGCAAGTCTCTTCAGTGCCATGTCACAAAACGAGATGCATTGTGGGACATGTAGTTTATGGACAACGTGTTTCTGTAAAAGGGCATGTAACTGTATAATAAACGTATTTTATTCTTCTATTTTATTTGAGCTCTTGCGGGGCCACATGAAATGCAATCTTGAGTTTGACACCCCTGCTCTACGCAGTGCTTCTCAAAGTGTGGTCCGCGGATCACTGGTGGTCCGTGAGCGCCCCCTAGTGGTCCGTGAGTATATTTCACATTTGAAATACATTTATGTATTTGAGTTTTCCGCACTCTCGCAGGAATATCTCCGCAATGGAGTGAGCTTAAGTTTCACTTTCGATTGCATGATATAGCCCAGATAAACACCTTCATCGCACATGTTGCCACTTGTTTGTACCATTTTCAGGCGATTTGTAAAAAACGATGTGTTTTTGGATATTTGTAGAGTTAGGTGGTCCGCGAGTGTTTTTTTATTGGTTAAGTGGTCCTTGGTATGAAAAAGTTTGAGAAACACTGCGCTAAAGCAATGAGACAGACCCCCATGCACAATGTAATGTTGGCACACATTGTACATTTGACCTCAGAATAACTATGTGTGTGTGTGTGTGTGTGTGTGTGTGTGTGTGTGTGTGTGTGTGTGTGTGTGTGTATGTATGTGTGTGTGTGTGTGTGTGTGTGTGTGTGTGTGTGTGTGGTGTGTGTGTGTGTGTGTGTGTGTGTGTGTGTGGGGGTGTGTGTGTGTGTGTGTGTGTGTACTGTGTGTGTGTGTGTGTGTGTATGTGTGTGTGTGTGTGGTGTGTCTGTGTGTGTGTGTGTGTGTGTGTGTGTGTGTGTGTGTGTGTGTGTGTGTGTGTGTGTGTGTGTGTGTGTGTGTGTGTGTGTGTGTGGTGTGTGTGTGTGTGTGTGTGTGTGTGCATGTGTTTATTCTCCAGCTACATGGATTGGAGGAGGCTTCGTTGTAGGGCTTCCAGAGATCGTGTACAACCCGTCTTTGGGCTTCGTCACCGCCTGTAGCTACGTTATAGGCATCGTACTGAGTATGGTGATTGGTGAGTCTGTTTTAAACTGAACACTGTGAGTACATGTGTAGAAATGACTTCTGTTTTATGGGCAATAATCATATAGTTGTATCATTTAGTTGTGTTGCTGTTGCTGAACACTCACAATACATTAGGGCAGCGGTTCCCAACCTTTTTCAACTCAGGGCCCACTTAAGAATCTAAAAAATGTTCGCGGCCCACATTCAACCATAAACAATACGGAGGCTGAATAAAGTTCTCAGAGTACTTTTTATTTTAATTAGAAAAGGAGCTGGCTATCAGTAACAAACAGACATTTTGATTACACTGTTTAGTTGAATACTAGATTCTGATTGGTCAATTTAGAACATGTGACATGTTGTTAATACAGTAGTACAGACCGCTGTCAAGGACTGTCATGACCGTTGCTAAGGCGGATCAAGAAAGAAAAAGGAAAAATCTTAATAATTTTTACACAAATCATAATGTTTTGAAAATGATTTGGTGGCCCGGTTGGGAACCGCTGCATTAGGGCTTCGCTGTGTTTGGAGTATGCAGAGAACTTGGTATCACAGATCATTCCCATATGTAGAGTCTTTGGATAAACTGAATGTCTTTTTGTCAGATAACTTCTTCTCTTTCTCTTCTTGATTGTGTCTAGAACTGTCGATCGTGTCCAAAATGTAGTATTGAATGCAAAGGTTCTTATGCAGGTCATCTGTATTTTGGTGATGATTTTGGAGTTGAGATCCAAACGTTGTCTAAAAGGCACCAAGTATTTCTAGTAGGAAGGTGAAGTGAAAGGACGAGATCACAGAGGACACAGACTGACATTTAGTATCATTCAGAAAAGTCATTTGATTACAAAATAAAAATAAAACACATTAGAGCCTCGACTAAGAATGAAGTGAAGCGGGCCATATATTAATTTTAGTTCTTTACATCTGACCAAAAGTGAATTTGTTGTTAACAGACGTAGACAAATATTTCAGACTTTTTTTCTCAGAATTCTTAGATTTTCAGAAAATTCTAAGAAAATAATTATTGTCACCATTCAGATTTTTTTTTCAGTCAGCATCTGGTGTGAGGGTTAGGGTTAGGGTTAGGGTTAGGGGTAGGGGTAGGGTTAGGGGGGTTAGGGGTAGGGTAATGTTGTGAATTGAGTGGCCCATGGTGGTGGTGGGGTTATGGTATGGGCAGGCGTATGTTATGGACGACGAACACAGACCACTCGATTCACAACATTACCCTAACCCTAATCCTACCCCTCACACCAGATACTGACTGGTTTTCGGACCCCCCCAGACCCCCCCAATAAAGCAAAACTGCACGTTTCAGAGTGGCCTTTTATTGTGGCCAGCCTAAGGCACACCTGTGCAATAATCATGCTGTCTAATCAGCATCTTGATATGCCACACCTGTGAGGTGGGATGGATTATCTCGGAAAAGGAGAAGTGCTCACTATCACAGATTCTTTCAGATTTGTGAACAATATTTGAGAGAAATGGTTATTTTGTGTTTATAGAAAATGTTTTAGATCTTTGAGTTCATCTCATGAAAAATGGGAGCAAAAACAAAAGTGTTGCGTTTATATTTTTGTTCAGTGTAAATCTAAAGAAATCTGACTTTTTCTCAGAAGCCAGAATATGTTTAGTTTTTTGTCAGAATTCGTAGAAAATTCATGACTTTTTTTCTCAGAACCACCAAATAAAAAAAAAACTTTTGGTCAGATCTCCCAAAAAAATGTACATGTGAAAAACCAAATTATGACTTTAATCTGAGAATTCTGACGTTTCGCAGGAATATGGAATATCATTTTTCATCTGAGATCTGGCTTTTTTCACAATCACATTATTTCCTCTTGAAATATAGAATTAATTAAATAAAGCAATATTTTTCCAAGTAATGATTTATAAAACAAACAAATGGGGTGACCTTGTCTTTGTGTCTTTAATCAGGTGGCCTTTTCTTCACTGGGCCAATGAGAGACAAGAAATATGTGACCATGATGGATCCTTTCCACATCAAGTATGGAAAAGTACCGATGGCCTTTTTATCTCTGGGAACAATGCTGTGTAACATCCTGTGGGTGACATCAACACTGTACGGTTTAGGTATGTAATCCATTACTTTCTAAACTACAAAACAATCGCCAAGCCAGAGGTCTGTCTTTGTTTTAGTATCCAATCCAAAGTATTTTTACCATGTGACAGCCAGATGTAAAATAAGATAGTTGCAAGTTAATGCATTCTTAAAACTGTATGGTTGTGTTCAGAGTTGGGAAGTATTGGAGTACAAATACTTTGTTACTGTACTTAAGTACATTTTTCTGGTATCACTAATTATTTTTCCGACGACTTTTTACATTGACTTCTTACATTTTGAACCCAAATACCTGTACTTTCTACTTCTTACATTTTGAACCCAAATACCTGTACTTTCTACTTCTTACATGTAGAACTCAAATACCTGTACTTTCTACTTCTTACATGTAGAACTCAAATACCTGTACTTTCTACTTCTCACATGTTGAACACAAATACCTGTACTTTCTACTTCTTACATGTAGAACTCAAATACCTGTACTTTCTACTTCTTACATGATGAACTCAAATACCTGTACTTTCTACTTCTTACATGTTGAACACAAATACTTGTACTTTCTACTTCTTACATGTTGAACTCAAATACCTGTACTTTCTACTTCTTACATGTTGAACACAAATACTTGTACTTTCTACTTCTTACATGTAGAACTCAAATACCTGTACTTTCTACTTCTTACATGTAGAACTCAAATACCTGTACTTTCTACTTCTCACATGTTGAACACAAAGACCTGTACTTTCTACTTCTTACATGTTGAACTCAAATACCTGTACTTTCTACTTCTTACATGTTGAACACAAATACCTGTACTTTCTACTTCTTACATGTTGAACACAAATACTTGTACTTTCTACTTCTTACATGTTGAACAGAAATACCTGTACTTTCTACTTCTTACATGTTGAACTCAAATACCTGTACTTTCTACTTCTCTCATGTTGAACCCAAATACCTGTACTTTCTACTTCTTACATGTTGAACTCAAATACCTGTACTTTCTACTTCTCTCATGTTGAACCCAAATACCTGTACTTTCTACTTCGTACATGTTGAACACAAATACCTGCACTTTCTACTTCTTACATGTTGAACACAAAGACCTGTACTTTCTACTTCTTACATGTAGAACTCAAATACCTGTACTTTCTACTTCTTACATGTTGAACACAAATACCTGTACTTTCTACTTCTTACATGTTGAACTCAAATACCTGTACTTTCTACTTCTTACATGTTGAACTCAAATACCTGTACTTTCTACTTCTTACATGTTGAACTCAAATACCTGTACTTTCTACTTCTTACATGTTGAACTCAAATACCTGTACTTTCTACTTCTTACATGTTGAACTCAAATACCTGTACTTTCTACTTCTTACATGTTGAACTCAAATACCTGTACTTTCTACTTCTCTCATGTTGAACCCAAATACCTGTACTTTCTACTTCATACATGTTGAACTCAAATACCTGTACTTTCTACTTCTCTCATGTTGAACCCAAATACCTGTACTTTCTACTTCTCACATGTTGAACTCAAATACTTGTACTTTCTACTTCTCTCATTTTCCAAACAGCTGGTTCCTTTAGTCTGAATGTGTGTTTGATGCGTGATCATTATTCTTAGAGTCATTGCGTGCCTATTGATTTGAACACGATCCGTGTATCCATCATTTCCTGGTCTTCTCTAAAGAAGAGGGACCAATGGAAACGTTGTCATGTTGCCGTTGTTCAGCATGGAAACATTCATTAGCTAACAATGACATTATTGTTCTATGAATATAAAGGGAGGTCAGGTACTCTTTAAAGCAGCTGCTAGTTATGGGTACTTTTTACTGAAGTACATTTCAAAGCCTCTTTACTTTGACTTGAGTAAAGAAGTTTAGTCAGTACTTCTACTTTTACCGAGTACTTTTAAACACGAATATCTGTACTTCTACTTGAGGAAAGGATGTGTGTACTTTTGCCATCTCTGATTGTGTGTGTGTGTGTGTGTGTGTGTGTGTGTGTGTGTGTGTGTGTGTGTGTGTGTGTGTGTGTGTGTGTGTGTGTGTGTGTGTGTGTGTGTGTGTGTGTGTGTGTATGTGTGTCCACAGGTGCAACCATGAGTGTGATCATTGGTCTACCGTTCACCGTGTGCATCTGGATCTCTGCTGCGGTGGCGATCGTCTACACCCTGATGGGAGGTCTTCACTCGGTGGCGTACACAGATGTTGTGCAGCTCGTCCTCATGTTCATCAGCCTGGTCAGTTGTTACACATTTTGCCTCAAGTTTTGAGAAAATGCCAGAATTCTGAGATTAATTTCGGACTTTTATGACTTTTTTCTCAGAAATATCGAGTATAATTTTTTCTCCAAATTCTGACTTTTTTCTTTAATTTCTGACTTTTTTTCTCCAAATTCTGACTTTTCTCTTAAAGGAGAGGTGTCATGGCTATTTCTACTGATCATAATTCCATTGTTGAGGTCTACTAGAATAGATTTATACTGTGCAATTTTCCAAACTCACATTGTTTTGCATACAGCATCTCTGTAAACTACGTGTATTCACTTTCTCCACTAAACGGCTCGTTGCAGCTCTTGCCCCCCCCCCCTCCCTGTGAGCCCAGTGTGCTCTGATTGGTCGGGACCAGTCGGGACGTTGTGAATCGCGCTAAGCTCCGTGGAGGTGTGATTTCCTTGTTTAGCGATACACAGCGAAACACAGCCAAACTCACCCTGAGCACACACAAAGTCACAGCCGAAGTAAAAACAATAAGTGTGGCTTGATATTGAGAAAGAAAAGGGTTGATAAACGCTGTGAGAACGGGTTCTGCAGAGAGAAGGGTCAGCAGAGAGAAGGAGAAGCATGGGTCTGCAAGGGAGAACGGGTCTGCAGAGAGAATGGGTCTGCAGAGAGAATGGGTCTGCAGAGGAGCATGGGTCTGCAGAGAGAGAAAGGGGGTCTGCAGAGAGAAAGGGCTGCAGAGAGAACGGGTCTGCAGAGAGAACGGGTCTGCAGAGAGAATGGGTCTGCAGAGAGAATGGGTTCTCAGGTAGAGAGAGAGTAATGGGTCTGCAGGAGAGAATGGGTCTGCGAGAGAAGGGGGTCTGCAGAGAGAATGGGTCTGCAGAGAGAATGGGTCTGCAGAGAGAACGGGTCTGGCAGAGAGAATGGGTCTGCAGAGAGAATGGGTCTGCAGAGATGAACGGGTCTGTGCAGAGAGATGGGTCTGCAGAGAGAATGGGTCTGCAGAGAGAATGGGTCTGCAGAGAGAACGGGTCTGCAGAGAGAAAGGGGTCTGCAGAGAGAATGGGTCCTGCAGAAGAAATGGTTCTGCAGAGAGAACGGGTCTGCAGAGAGAATGGGTCTGCAGAGAGAATGGGTCTGCAGAGAGAATGGGTCTGCAGAGAGAATGGGTCTGCAGAGAGAAGGGGTCTGCAGAGAGAATGGGTCTGTCAAGAGAGAATGGGTCTGCAAGAGAACGGGTCTGCAGAGAGAATGGGTCTGTAGAGAGAACGGGTCTGCAGAGAGAATGGGTCTGCAGAGAGAAATGGGTCTGCAGAGAGAACGGGTCTGCAGAGAGAATGGGTCTGCAGAGAGAATGGGTCTGCAGAGAGAACGGGTCTGCAGAGAGAATGGGTCTGCAGAGAGAATGGGTCTGCAGAGAGAATGGGTCTGCAGAGAGAATGGGTCTGTAGAGAGAATGGGTCTGCAGAGAGAATGGGTCTGCAGAGAGAATGGGTCTGCAGAGAGAAGGGTCTGCAGAGAGAATGGGTCTGCAGAGAGAATGGGTCTGCAGAGAGAACGGGTCTGCAGAGAGAATGGGTCTGCAGAGAGAATGGGTCTGCAGAGAGCATGGGGCTGCAGAGAGAATGGGTCTGCAGAGAGAAGGGTCTGCAGAGAGAATGGGTCTGCAGAGAGAATGGGTCTGCAGAGAGAACGGGTCTGCAGAGAGAACGGGTCTGCAGAGAGAATGGGTCTGCAGAGAGAATGGGTCTGCAGAGAGAATGGGTCTGCAGAGAGAATGGGTCTGCAGAGAGAATGGGTCTGCAGAGAGAATGGGTCTGCAGAGAGAATGGGGCAGAGAGAATGGGTCTGCAGAGAGAACGGGTCTGTAGAGAGAATGGGTCTGTAGAGAGAATGGGTCTGCAGAGAGAATGGGTCTGTAGAGAGAATGGGTCTGTAGAGAGAACGGGTCTGCAGAGAGAACGGGTCTGCAGAGAGAACGGGTCTGCAGAGAGAATGGGTCTGCAGAGAGAATGGGTCTGCAGAGAGAATGGGTCTGCAGAGAGAACGGGTCTGCAGAGAGAATGGGTCTGCAGAGAGAACGGGTCTGCAGAGAGAATTTCGCCGCGATCCCAACTATCTGTTATCAGCCAGGGAGGAGAGATCAGCAGAGCTGCATGCACTGAGTGCGTGAGGAAGTCCGTGGATTGGTCAATTTGGACCAATCAGCGGGGGCTTAACGTAACGGCTCCGCGGACGTAACCACGGATTGGTCCATTTTGTTCGGGGTACGGTTGACATCATGCGTACCCGGAAGAATCAAATGGATGATGACGTTTCACCAACGAGGCGTTTTGGGGAGGTATTTTCTGTATTAGAGTTTTACTCGCTACAGGGTGTACTTTGAGGGTTTTGACTCTGCACACCGTTTACATGCATAAAAACCTTCATAACCAGGGGTGCACATAACTTTTTTGCCCTGGTTCTCAAAGGAGCACCTGGAGATGTTGCTTGGTGCTCATCCTTAAAATGAAATAAATAAACCGGTCTTTATTTGTCAGACACACGGCACAGAACACACAGAGGTGAACACAGAACACACATGCAGAGGTGAACACAAGACAACATTAGCACGACCAGTAATCCTACAAGCTGTCATCACTCCCCTCCTGACTGTTCTCCTCACTGTCTTCCTCTCTGTCAGACATGGTAGCTGATGATGTAGGCCTACTTCTTTCTCTCTGGTTGAGTCTGCGATTAGCTGCTTGCATCCACAAGTCAACAGCTGGGTTTGGGTCGAAAGTCCAGTTTCAAAAGGATATTTTTGGTTACTATCCTATAGTATATATTGGAATGATTTCAAACCTGTTTATCCCAATAATTATAAAGGAGTGCCTTGGAAATATGTGTTTACATAAATTGTGACCAAACCGTTTGAACTTAGACTAAAGTTAACTATCTAAACACTGAGTCCTTTACCTCACTGAGCTGTAGTTATCAGCCTCTCAGTCTGACTGGAGAGGACTCTCCCTCCACATCATTGTAGAAACATCTTCTTCTTATATCCGCAGCTAGCACCAGATTCTAATAACAACAGCGCTGGTACCGGTGCACCCTCGCTCGCTCCCACGCTCACTCGCATTTTGGCTGTGAGCTGCGGGCGCCAGATAAGCCAACATCCCCCATTTTCATCACTTACAGCGCCCATCGTACAGGGCAAATGAAACGTGTAACCGGGGTGAAAAGGGTGTTACATTTACTTAATTATGAATGTTGTTACATCAAGGCCGAAAATTAGGATGAGCGTCAACGGTCAAAATGTTTTTTTCCCTCCCAGAACTACAGCGCAGCGCCTCCACAGATCTGGCGCCCTAGGCGAAAATCATCGCAGCGCTACGGGCGGCCCTGAGTTCATAGGAACGAAAGAGAGGAGGAGAGAGGAGAAAGAGGCGCGGAGGACGGGAAGGGAGAGAGAGGAGAGACAGAGAGATAGAGAGAGAGCGATAGAGAGGAGAGATAGCGAGAGAGACTTCAGAGAGAGAGATATCTCTGTCTCTCTCTATCGCTCTCTCGATCTCTCTCTCTCTCTCTCTCTCTCTCTCTCTCTCTCTCTTTCTCTCTCTCTCTCTTCTCTTCTCTCTCTCAATTCGGACTGTTTTCCTCCACAATTCAGACTTTTTCCGAAAAATTCAGACTTTTTCCGAAAAATTCAGACTTTTTCCGAAATAAATCTCTATTCTTTCCTCAGAAGTCTGACTTTTTTTCAAATTCTGACTGTCTTCTTAAAATGCTGACTTTTTTCCCTCCAAATTATGACTTTTTTCTTACAATTCTGACCGCTTGAATGTCTATATGTCTATCCGCCCATTCCTTAGACTGGAACCAGACTTCTTACGGTTCTCAGACCCCATTTGAACGCGGGGAGGCAGCACTTATATTACCAATCACTCTTCAACACCTCACTCCAACCTATGTCTCCATCGTCAGTATGGGGTGTGTGACGGCTGCCGTGATGTCCTCCACTGACTCTGCTTTACTCGCTGCTGCTTCTGTCTTCTCCTCCAACATCTACAAGAGCATCCTGAGGAACCAGGTTAACATTTCTTTATTCAATTTGCATCCTGAGAAATAACTATAAAGTGCCTATAATGTACCACTACAGTTACTTAACCTGTTGAACCCCGCCCCCGGGCGGAAAAATGCATCATCTGCAGGAAACAGCGTCTGAGGGCATCTTAATATATTTAATAAACTATTAATGTTTTATATCCATGTAACGGGAAGAAACTCAGCTAACAGATCTTTTTTTTTTTTGCAAAAAAACCCACAAAGCTCAGCCTCTAAATCAGCCACGAGCAAAAAATGCTAACAGCGGTTGCACAGAAACTAACTCATAACACCCTTATTACTTATCGTAGCTGCACATCTAACCCATCGATTAGCATCGTGAGAAGACACAGAATCGATAGGTACCTACATCATCACTCTATGATAAGAACTCGCGATGTTATAAACAAAAACAGACATCACAACACTTGGCGCTAGGTAGCTAAAATGGCAATATCTCTTACCTTCGTTGTTGTCTGATCAAAAGTTGTCTTCAATGGCATTAAAACGATAAAAACGCTGCTGAAGTTAATCCATAGGTTAATCCAATGTGTCTGTGTCACTTTGAATGATTTCTGATAATCCATCAGCAATAAACCTGCTTTTCCGTGTTCAGATGTCAGAGCGTGAGATAGGTTCGCTCTGAGCAAAACTGCATGCACGAAGCCCCCACTTTTTTTTGGTAACGTGGGTGTATATGTGGACATTTTCCTTCGATTCTATTGGCTCTAACGGTCAGAAAGAGATGTCAATCACCAAAATCGAACAATGGGTTCCAGAGAAACGCCAAAAACGCCCATTTCCACCCAAATCACCCCAGAGGTGGAATGTTTTAGCTAAACCTCTCTTAAAAGGTCAAATGTCACTTGTTTTGCACAGTGCTTGAATTGGAATGAAAAAGGTGCCAGTACTCTAAAATCAGCAACTTTTTCAAGTCAATTTTATATATACAGCCCACAAACAAGAATTTGGCTACTATAATGCTGGTGGGTTTGTCTCTTTACTACTGTATATTTTAGAAAGGTTCACTGTACTTAACATTTTTTATGATAGGCAGCGGATATGGCTAAAGCTCAGAAAGGTCAATATTAACTGAAAATATAGCAATCAAAGTCTAGATCTTCTGCTGAAGACACATGAAGCAGAGACCTTTCAGGTGAGAGCCCCTCTGGTGGTGTTCAACATTAATGACAAGGAAACAAAGCTCTGGTCAGAAGCATTTTTTATAAAAAGCTTTAACAAAATTAAGTATTTCTGTACATTTTGAATGCAATCTAACTTTCCAACTCAGAAAACGAAAAACGAAAAAGTGCCAAAAGTCTTCTCACATGGCTGAGCTGCTTTGCAATATACTTCACCACTGAAGAATACAAATATGTATAAAGTAAACTATGATGCAATCTAACTTTCCAACTCAGAAAAATGATAAAGAGCATGAACAAAGAACATGTAAAAACAAATGCAAAATTTGCACAATCTAAAATGAGAAACTGTAACTGCAAGTAACAAAGTCTGAGCCATGGTAAAGAGTTACATTGAACACCAAGCTGATCAGATAACTCCCTGGTTGGTCTGAAGTCCTTCTATCTCCAGGATCTGTACAAATCGGCACATTATGCCAAAAGTCTTCTCACTGGGTGAGCTGCTTTGCAATATACTTCACATTGTTAGAAAAGGCTCCAGAAGGCCTTGGGGACATCAGTATCAGGGGCTGGAGCTGGACAGGCTCTTTCATCAGCACTTCTCCTTCCCTTTGCCAGCCAGGACCTCACATACTGTTCCGGATTGAACTGTCCTAGTGATGGTCCATTACATTTAATGAAAACCAGGCTGGACAGTCGGCTGACAGAGAGAGCATTCCTTTTTGCAGTAAGGATATCGTTCATGCAGCTGAATGCCCGCTCACACTCACTAGTGGAGACAGCGATGGTTCGGACTGCTTTCAGTAGAGGCTCCATGGCAGCAGGTGTACGGGATGCCCTGGTTTCCTTGTATTCGCAAAAGCCCTGAACAGTCTCTCTTCTGTCCACTTTCAGCACTTCGCACAAACGTAGCACCTCTACGTCCCCATACTGTACGTCTAACTCCTCTTCAGGCCAACTTCCAGGATGGATAACTTTCATGTCCTGGATTAGCTGATTGTCCCGGGCCTCCCGGCCATGTAATGGGATTTCTCTTGTGCTGACATGAGAGGAGGTTGTGGAAGTCATTCTGTGTCTCAGATTCTCTACCATACTGCGGAAAAACTGACCTGCATGAATCTGTACAAGCCTGCCATTCTCACGCAGGGCAACAGCCTTGAAGGACTTCTCAGCTAGAGCTGTATGAACTGTAGTCATGTGTGGGCCAGGCATGGTGACCATGGATTCAAAAACTCGTATTTCTCGAGTTAAGAGCCTATCTGCTGTAGGCAGTGTCATCTCTCTTTTTTGGAGTTGCCGAGAGAGGTCGCTGAGCTCTGTGAGCGCATCGTACATCAGTCCCAGATTGCTGACAAACGTTGCAGATGTGAGCACATCATCTAGGCCCTTGTACTTTGCTCTGTCTCTGGAATCCCTGCTCGTGTCGTTTGCAGCATTTGTGAAGTGATCATGAAGCACTCGGTAGTTTTCCCAGACTGCTCTGACGCTCCTTTCACTTGAAGCCACCCAGCAGATGGACAAAACACGCCCTATCACCAGGAGACGCTGTCCGACTGCTTGCGCACACTGCGCTAACTGCCTCTGATTTTTGGGGGAGGCATGGAACAAGGAATAGAGTTTGTCAAAAAAGATCTGGAAATGATTGAGCCCTGAGACCTCCTTGACCACATCCCCAACTGCCAGCTCTAGACGATGATTGGAGCAGTGCCACACAAACAGGCTTGGGAATTTACTACACAACTGGGTAGCAACGCCTGTTCTCTTCCCTAGCATGACTGAAGCCCCATCACATGCAAAAGAAACGAAACACTGACCTAAAAAGTCCTCGTTAAAATCTCTTCCAAGACACTCCATTAACGCCTTTGTGATGTCATCAGCCGTTGTTCCATCCAACTCGATCAGCTCCCAAAAAAACGTTTCGGGCTCAGCATCAGCTAATGCTGAGGGTAGACACACAACAAGCACCGTTTTACCACTAATAGTGGTAGATTCATCGACCAAAACACAGAGTTTTCTTTGGTTTTCTGTAATGTCTTTTGCCATTTTTTTCTTCAGCTCATGAGCTATGTGGTCGATGATTTCGCCACAGGTTTTATTGGAGTGCAAAACCCTGCCCACGTTCAGCCCATTCAGTTTCTGTACATTCAAATCAATTGGCATGTCTGTGAATGGCCGGCTATGTTTGCCAATTTTATATGCCGTTCGAAAAACTCTGATAGTGGTGTCTAATTCAGATGTATGCATAGACTGCACTTGATGTTGAATAGTTTCACGTGAAGCAGATGTAAGGATGTCAGCAGCTTTTACATGGGCTTATGATTCTTTATGTTCTTTGATTTTTTTTTCTCAGGCTAGCTTGTTGTTTGCCCTTGTCAACACCGAAATGAGACACTGCACACTCACCCCATTCAGTTGACAGTTTCAGTCCTTGTCCAGTGTAATGGCAATTTCCTTTTCCTATGTCCTATATATGTTTGCCGTTACTTTCACAGAAGGGTTGAAAAGTGATCCAGACGCAGACACAAACAGATGATTTTCCGGTCCTTAGTTGTGGTTTATGATGATGTTTATTCGTCTTTACATACCAGGGTTAATTTAGCGTTCTAGTGATTCTATAAGCATCTGCCGGGCTGGTGGAATCGGTATGCTCTTCTCCTACTGTGTCCCCCCCCTCTCTTGTCACCTATGACCTCCTTATATACACCCGGTGCAGCTAAACCCCGCCACCCAGTGTTCATAAATAATATTGCACTATACATATAACTTAAATAAACTGACACACCAACATCACCCACAAAATGGCTCCTACATCCAGTGTGTATTCCCAAAGATTTGACATCTCTGCATATCTTTAAGAAGGAGCCATGCATTGGTCTTGCAAAAATATTGCACCTGGTCCGTTGTCCAGCAGTCAGGTGCATCGCTTTGCCCGGTGTTGGTGGTGGCAGTTGCGCCAGCAGCAGCTAACGTTAGAGGCTCTGGAGGAGGCGGCGGAGCTAGTGCTAATGCTAATGCACTAGAACTTGGAGCAGGAGGATCAACCAAAGAAAGCTCCCCATCAGACACAATTTCCAACACAGGCACAGCATTCTCTGTATTTGAAGTTTCTTCCGGCGACAACCGCTGTCTTTTTGCACTTTTATTAATCCACGCTAACATTTTAGAAATGCTCCTTTGTGACGTGACTTGCTTTCCTTCTCTCGGGGGCGTGCCTGCTCTGTTCTATCACTCTACATAGCCACCCACTGGGTGGGAGTTGCACTGCATAAACACAACACACGTGCATCTAGGTATGTAAATTGTAAAGCAATAAAACATGGTTTTACTAACAGTTTTCAGTATGTTGTTACTACGGCATTATTATTATTATTATTATTTTGAAACGTGTATTACTATTAAATCACGGTCAAATAGGTTAATTTTGACATAGTCGTTTCCACCACAGTATTTACATGGAGAAGATAAGCCCCGCCCCCTCTCCAGCACGTTCTGTTTGAATGACAGGAGTAAACAGCTGACAGCCGCTGTGAAACTCCAGGGGTTAGAGCGATGAGAATGTCCGTTCGGCACCTCATGACGCATCTACTGAGTACCGGGCGGCTGTATATATATATATGGATGTATAATAAGAACGGCGGGAGAGTGTTGAGTACTGGCACGGTGCATGAGTACCGGAGTACCGCCAGCATGCCGGTACTGAGCAAGAAGTGCCGGTACTCCATGGGTCAGAACCAGAAGTGCCGGTACTGCGTACCGGTGAGTACCGGCCCAATTCCAGCACTGGTTTTGCATCAACCTTGATACAGGCTACTTATTATATGTTGTACTTTGGATTCCTAAAGCTTTTAGTCTACCTTACCAGAGGGTAGTTAGTTAGACTGAGACAGCACTTACATTACCAATTACTTTGCAACACCTCACTTTCTTAAAATTCGGATTTGTTTCTCCAAATTCAGACTTTTTTCTTAGATTTAGACTTTTTACCAAATTATGACATTTCTCTTAAAATTCAGACTTTTGTCTTAAAATGATGACCGCTTGAATGTCTAATTTGTGTCTATCTGCCCATTCCTTAGACTGGAAACAGACCAGACACAGAGAACATTTCCCCCTCATATCTTAAATATTGTTTTCCTCCCGCAGGCGTCAGAGAGGGAGATCCAGTGGGTGATCCGAGGCTGTGTTTTGGTCGCAGGATTGGTCGGCACGTCTCTGACCAGCGTCCAAAACAGCATCTCAATGATGTGGTTCCTCAGCACGATGATAACCTACATTGTTATCTTTCCTCAACTCGTCTGCGTTCTCTTCTTCAACATCTCCAACGGTTATGGGGCAGTTTCTGGCGTCCTGGTGGGATTGTTGTTAAGACTGTTGTGTGGAGAGCCATTAATAGGACTACCAACCGTCCTCCATCTGCCCGGATGCACCCTGGAAGACGGTGTTTATGTTCAACAATCCCCAGTGAACACCATCTCCATGTTAGCAGTCTTTGCTTCCAACCTGCTGTTCTCCAGCCTCTTCTCTCGGCTCATTCACAAAAAACTGTTTCCTGAGAAGTGGGATTCTTTGAGACTCTGCAAACAAAGACACTGCGATAAGGAGAACGAGGAAGAAATGGGAGACGGAATAGTCTCAGAGCCGATGATGAGCACAACGTCTTAGCAAAGTAGCAGACAGCAAATTATATTACTGCCTTCTGTACTGTGCTGTAAACTCATGGTTTTGTGCTGGGTGTATGAGGGTTCAATTAATGGGGTTCAGTTTATGTGAGTGTGACTTTAAATCTGGATGGAGATTCGCAGGGTTTATTGATGTGTATAAATAGAGGGGATACATAAATTAACGTCATTGAGATTGAGGAATCAGGAGAGGCCACTAGTAAGTGTGATTATTATATTGAATGTGATTTGAAAAACGATAACCAATGCGTCAGAATCAAGGTGAGACTATCCGCATCTTTTGAAACTTTACGCACATCCGTTTCACCAAAATAAGTAAACGCCTCTCAATGAAAAACGTTATAGTTGTTTATTGCCGTTTCTGTAGTTTAAGAGGAAACACACGGCATGTCTCTGGCTCAAACAGCTGAGAAGTTATGACGTTTTGAAAACAATGTGATATTTGGGTCTCAGAGGGTTACATGAATTAAAATGCCTTTTATTCATTTGTCTCTAAACTGTTTTTATAAAGACAATTCTGAAGAAACATGTATTATCTTTCTTAACGAACAAATAGTTAAGCCAAAATGTTAGTGAGGGAGTGCGTGCGCTTCCTCACACCTTCAACAATTACATTAGACATGTGGTTACGACAGTGCTGATTGCCGTGAAAATGTGTCAACATATCATTTTAGCAAAAAGGGTATTTCCAAGAACTTGGTGATCCTCCTTTTGTTTTTCCTGTAGAGCAATCTTCAGTTTGATATTCTCAGATCACTCAGAGTGGTAAATATGTCCCTCGGTCTTTCCATATTCTGAATATCTCAAAAGTCTTAAAACACTACAGTACGAGGATGGGGACCTCTAGGAATGAAACCCCTCAACATCAAGCCCCCAGGAAGTGCTCCGGACTCTGAGGATAATATTCATAGTGGCCAAACGACGGTACTACAATTTCCGTATCAGTCCGTGACGTCACTGGGCCCAGAAATACTTTTTCCCATTGGCTTACAATCAGCTGATACTTCTTAAAACACTAAATAAATTACCCACAACTCTTTTATAGCCCTTATTGCAGTGGTTCCCAACCTTGGGGGCGCACCCCCCTTGGGTGGGCGCCAAAGATCGCAGGGGGGGTGCCAGGCCTCAGAGGATTTGAGGCCAAATATCATTTAGACTTTCTTTTTTTTTAAGGCAATACATGATTGTCACTAAAAGCCTTGTCTCTACATTACAATAAAATATAAAAAATAATTGATTAATTAATTTGAATAACAATTCAAGTTAGTATTAAAGGCATAAAAAGACAGAAATGTATAATTCTTTCTTTAATAGAAATGTTTCTTCTAAACCGTCGAAACCAGGCTTGTCTGGATAAGCGCATTTTTAAAACATAGTCATTGTCCATGCCGGTTTCAGTTGGATTATTTGTCACAGTTGCTCCGATCAGATCGGTCTCCTCCCTTTTGTAGATTATTTACGACTTTTGAATCCACATAAACACATCGGCAAAATCCGGCTTACTTTGAGCATGTGTTTTAAACAGTTTAATCCCTTTGTGAATTGTTTCCACTTCCGCGCCGTCCTTTAATTTCTTCATACAGCGGGAATCCAAATGAATGAATCCTGAGTCCAATAACCATCAAAGTCACTCCAATAGTGCTCCTTAATTAGCGCAACTTCCAACAGGAGTCATTTGGGGGGGCTCTTGGGAAAAAAGGTTGGGAACCACTGCCTTATTGGGATCACTTAAATGTTTTAAAATGCACAAGTATGAGTGAAGTTTGACTATAGACCCTTTTATTTAAGACTTCAATCAGCAGAGACTCACTTTAAAAGACGTTTAAGTGTAATTTATGAATGAATGTGGTATGATGCACAGGAGGAAAGGTATTACGTCATACTCTTATTACTGTATATTCTGATATCATCTCATTGGTTTTAAAATCAAGTGCAGTGTTTCACAGTTTGAACAAATGATCTAGTTGATCTAACTTTCGTCATTGAGTTGCATTTAGTGATAACCGTCATACTTGTAGTGTAAGCAAACTACGTGACAATGTTTAATGAGTTATTTACATCTTGTCAACACGAAGAACGAATGGAAATCTGGATTTTTAAATGAAATCTAAAACTACAGTCATGCAGTTTGGAAATATGTGTCGGTTTCTTTCGTTTTTCAACCTGCTTTAGGAGACTCAACACGTAAAGAGTAAACTTGTTTTCACATCATAACCAACAGCCGCTTAATAAACTGTAATACTTCATAGCTTTTGTGGGTTTTTGATGGAGCTTAATGTAACATATTTTTGTAACCAGTTCATACAATATGACACCTACCCAGTAAAGAACCACATAATTATGTATATGTTATAAAACCATATTTTATTTCATCCTACTGTACAATATTTAATTGTACATTCTGTTCTTATATCATATTCTATTTACAGGTATATAGACTTATTGCAATATTTTATTTTTGTATTTTTGTATTTTATTATATTTGTTTCATCGGGTCATTCATCGAGATCGGGTCAGAAGAATTTCATTGCCATTTCTACACTGTAGCTTTGTGCATATGACATAAAACCTCTGAATCTTTGAATATAATATGTTCCCTGTTGGTTTGAAAGAAGCCCAGATGCCGGTCCCAAGAACCAGCAGGTAGAAAATCACCATGGCTATCAGTCCTGGGATGTTAACAGCCATGATAGATGCTGACTGACTCCCCGACTAGCTGACGTCTGGCTGACTGAGTGAAGTAAATCAAGAAGACAAAACGGTTAAATGGAAACCTTTCAAACTTCAATGTACATAAATGCCCTCTGGTAAAATGCCTGAGCAAAATGTAATACTTGATAAGACACACCCAAAACACATGTTGTCAATCACACCATCACAAGGAACGCCTTCATCTTTGTTGGGGTCTACTTTAGTTTTTCTGTTAACAAAAAGGATAGCAAGTGCAAGAGGCTGCCAGCAAGTAACGAACGTGGAGCTGAAATGACTGGTTTGCTGTCATGTACGTAAATGCCCTCTGGTAAAATGCCTGATAAAGATAACACTTGACAAGCATCGAGAAAGTTCATAAAACATCTTGGCAATACAAAATGTACAAAGCAAAACACACATTTTTAAATATGATTTCTGAAATCCCCCCAAAATGTGACAAAACAAAATAACTTTATAGAAAAAAAGGGCATTTTACAAAAACAACACAACTTCACAAAAAACTAAACAGTTTCTGTAAAACAACAACAACAGAGTCCTTGCTCCCGGGTTGTACTGTTTATAAGTAACGTTGAACACACCATTACAAGGAACACCTTTGTCTTTGCGTCCACTTTTGTTTTTCTGCCAAAAAAAAGGATAGCAAGTGCAAGAGGCTGCCAGCAAGTAACGCACGAGGAGCTCAAATGACTGGTTTGCTGTCATGTCTGCTGCATGTGGACATGAGGCTAATCCTAACCCTTTAAACACATGCCTTACTGCCAAGTCATGTATTTTGATACATGCTTTTTATTATCACTTTCTACGAAACATTTTATTTGAAGAAGAAGAAAAAGATGAAGCTTTAGTTACATTACATTACATTACATTACATTGCATTTAGCTGACGCTTTTGTCCAAAGCAACTTACAATAAGTACATTCGACCAGGAAGACACAACCTTGAAGAAAACAGAATCATATAAGTATATCAGGTTTCAGAGAGCCAAACATTTCAAGTGCTACTCAACTGGCTTTAGGTAATCCAGTCCTTTATTAGTATAAAAGTGCTTCGTTAATCGTTCTAACGCTCGAAGTGGAGTCGAAAGAGATGAATTTTCAGTTTGCGCCGGAAGATGTGCAAGCTATCTGCCGTCCTGATGTCAATGGGGAGCTCATTCCACCATCTTGGAGCCAGGACAGCAAACCCACGTGTTTTCGCCGATGGGAACTTGGGTCCCCCTCGCAGCGAGGGCGCAACGAGTCGTTTGGCTGATGCAGAGCGTAGTGCACGCGCTGGGGTGTACGGTTTAACCATGTCCTGGATGTAGGAAGGGCCAGATCCATTCGCAGCACGGTAAGCAAGTACCAGTGTCTTGAAGTGGATTCTAGCAGTTACCGGAAGCCAGTGAAGGGAGCGGAGGAGCGGAGTGGTGTGGGAACATTTAGGAAGGTTGAAAACCAGACGAGCCGCTGCATTCTGGATGAGCTGCAGAGGTCGGATGGCACATGCAGGTAGACCAGCCAGGAGGGAGTTGCAGTAGTCTAGGCGTGAGATGACGAGAGCCTGGACCAGAACCTGAGTCGCTTTCTGAGTCAGCTGGGGACGTATCCTCCTGATGTTGTAAAGCGTGTATCTGCAGCAGCGGGTTGTAGCAGCGATGTTTGCAGTGAAGGACAGGTTGTTATCTAGGGTCACACCCAGATTCCTTGCAGTCTGAGTCGGGGAAACAACTGAGGTGCCGATGTTGATTGTCAGGTCAAGAGTTGGACAATCTTTTCCCGGGAGGAAGAGCAGCTCAGTCTTGTCAAGGTTGAGCTTGAGGTGGTGAGCAGACATCCACTGAGAGATGTCAGCTAGACAAGCAGAGATGTGTGCGACGACCTGGGTCTCTGAGCGGGGAAAGGACAGAATTAATTGGGTGTCGTCAGCGTAGCAGTGGTAAGAAAAACCATGCGGGCTAATGACTGATCCGAGCGAGTTTGTGTACAGGGAGAAGAGGAGGGGACCAAGAACAGAGCCCTGAGGGACCCCCGTAGTTAATTGACAAGGGTCGGACTCAGACCCTCTCCAAGTCACCCTGTAGGTACGGTCTTTCAGGTATGAGGTGAGGAGGGAAAGTGCAGAGCCTGAAACTCCAAGTTTTTGGAGAGTGCGAAGGAGGATCTGATGATTCACCGTGTCGAATGCAGCAGACAGGTCCAACAGGATGATGACAGAGGAGAGGGATGCAGTTTTGGCAGTGTGCAGTTCCTCCGTGACAGCAATGAGGGCAGTTTCTGTGGAGTGACCTGC